AAAAAATTGTAATAATGAATTAATATCATTAATATCATGTATTGTAAGTGTATATTGATAGCATTTCTGAACAGCAAGTATATATAAAGCCTATCTTTTTATAATTCTAAAATAAAATATTATTAAATAAAATATTAAATAAAAGAAAATAACTATATTTAACCAGAGATAGAAATCACCACTCTTATATTTTTAGAGTTAGGGTATAATTTTAGACAAAGCTTAAAGTTAGATATTAGAATACTAATTTTAGTTAGCATAAGATTTTGGAGATTTTGAATATTTTTATTTAATATTTCTAAGAGGTGTTAGCTAGTACATTTTTGAGATATAGTATCCTGGTAATTTTAATTCTAGTAAAAATTAAAATTCTCAAAATAAAATATTAAATAATAGCTTATATTTATACTTACTTCTTATTCATATACAGGATTAACAAATATCTAATTTATTCATTTTTCAGCCTTAAATCCTTTAAAATATTTAATATTTATTGGTAGTCAACAATATTTTGTTGATATATTTTATATATTATTAAATATATGCCATTTAATTTTTTTAAAAATACAGTCAGACCTCTATATAGTCACCTTCCATATAATCACAAAATCAATATAATCACATTTGTTTATTTACCAACCTTTTTAATATTCATTTCAATTTTATATAATCACAATTGTACTATAATCACTATCACAAAATTTTATTAATAGCCTATATAAATTATTCTCTATAAGATTATATTTTAAACTAACCAATAATAATTCATGATATATAACCAATCAGAATGAACCATGAATAACTACGTGTGTACCAGATATATACGCGCTAGTACGTTATACATATGTATATATGTATCTGATACTAGAACGTACGCAAATATGCATATACCAGATAGCAAAAAAATAGTAGATCACAAAGACTAGGCTTGCAATTATTATCATTCTGAATAGCTTCAACTATGTGCACAGCATTTAGTATTTCTTGAGTTAAGTTTTATATTTGAGTGTGTGAGAGTGAAAACCTATAACTATATTTAGTGATTTTTGATCAGTTATAAGCTTTCACTCTCATGTACTCATTTAGTCTAAAACCTTTTTTTTTTATAATGAATATGAAATTTATAGTTAAAAATTTTTTGTTAGAAAATATTGCTTCACAATAGAATATATATATCAATGAACTGATGGAATTTTTAGGTCGAAGGTATTTAGTTCTTTCAAAGAAACACATGTTTTAGAAATAAATGAATCTCCTGTTAGTTTTATTAATGATTAGGTTATGGACTTGCCGCTGCAAGTTAATTAAATAAAGCCGATTATACTATTACTATTTATGATTATAAAGATAGATTTGGTGGACTATTAATGCACAGTATTTTTGAAACAAAATTTGTTAAAAAAAAAATATGATTAATCTTTCATGTAAAAAGGAATTGAATATATATATTTATATAACTGTTGATCTAACAAAAGTTTATACACATAATATTATTACTTAGTAGAATCAATATGACAAAGTCAATATTTCTACAAATTCAATATGCAATTGTAAGAGTATTATATATAACTCTTCGTTCCAAATTTTTTTTATTTCTTTTTTCCCTTTTTTTTCTTTTTTTTTACAATTTTTTTTAAGCACTTAAGTAATTTATAATATCTAAGTTATAACTGCTTTAATCATTAAGACCCAAAAAAGATAAAATTGAAAGTTGCTTCTTGTTTTTATCTTTTTCATAATACTATTCTTTAAGTTTTTTTTACAGCATCATTAGTTCATTCTCTTTGAACCCCTTTCCAATATTGAAACTTTCTTGATACCTAATAACTTTTTTCAATGCTTCTACAGCTTCAGTAATAGTTATAGGAAGAGAGAAGAAGGTTCTTTATCATTGTTATCTTTGGCTTCAACATTATCTTCTTCGTCAAACTCGTAATTTACTATTTATACGATACCTTTATCCTTTAATGTATTCTCAGTTATAACTAGTTAATCGATCAGGTTGGTATATGCTTCAATATTACTTATTAATTCTTGAACTTCAGAATTTGTCTTAACTAAAAGATTTTCTGTTAGTATATTAACATCATCAACTTCAAAGATTACATTCTCAGATTTGTTTTCTGGTTTACTTTCTTCTTCACTTTCTTCTAGCATAATTCTGGTAGCCTTCTAGCAATTTTTTATGGTAGTATCACTAACTTCATCTTATGCATCAGAAATGAAATTGATAGCTTGTCGTAGAGTAAGTTTTCTATATTTATAAACAGTTAACACAAGAAATAATCAATACAGAAACAAAATTTTTACCTTTGTTCTTTATTTTTTTCAAATTGTGTAAGCAAGTAGTGGCAATAGAGCTTTTTATACTTTGACTTAAAGCATCTTATTACACTAGTGTCTATGGATTGAAGATGTGCAGTCATATTAGATAGGAGAAAATACACAGTAATATTTGTAAGATAAGAATAATCTGGTACTTTTTTTTGAGATTTTTTAGAACTTTCTTTGGGACCTTCCTTGGAACTTTCCTCGGGGCCTTCCTTGGAGTTTTTTTCGGAGAATCCAATTGGACCCCTTATTTTCAGACACCCGGCTTAGGATTTTAAGACAGACTTCCTCTATTGGAAGTCCTT